AGTACTCAACCATTATAGCCTCGCGAAAACCTTAACGTACTTAAAAATGTAATATATTATACGCTCATACTTGCATTAACTCGGAGAAAACGGCTCCAGCTTCACCAGTGAACGAGCTAATTATATCCCACCCAATAGCAAACTTTCGAATAATTTTTACGAATCCTACAAAAGACACGGGCAGAAAAACTGCAACTGCGCAATTGATATACATAGATATAAGACGCAAAATTAATTTATAACATATATACCCGTGCGTTAGCATGCACTCGTACACGTATGTATGATTGCACGCACACATATATATATGTCCATGTGCGAGTCGAAAACAAACATAAAATAATGAAATAACGACGGTAAAATCATGTATATTATACTATTCAATTATTAGAAGATTCATCACGCATCGTTATCATGTCCGAAGCCAGGACTGCCTTCGCACATGCACATGTATATTGCGACCGGCGGATGATCGCGACCCGCAGGATCAAACAACGCAGCAATACCGGCCAAGTAGCCCCTGGATACCGATGGAGCACCAGCGAGCCAGCAGGGAGATGGACGACATCTTCGGTAACATATAAAACCTGTAAATAAAAATAAATAATTAGGTTAAGTAGTTTTAAGTTCATAGAGGTAATCAATTAGGTATTATGACGATAGTCATGGATTGATTTTCATTTTTTATCCATTATGATTTTGTTTGCTTCCGCATTTTTTTTTATTTTATTATTTTAATATTATCCCACGGACTAAAAGTTTATTTCTGTTCAATTTTATTAAACATGGTAATGAATCAGTTTAATACCTAAGACACCATCCACACCACCAATTCTTGGTCAATGATTGATTTAGTTCGGATTTTACCATGCACGAGATGTAATCCATAATTATGGTTAAAGTTTGGATTTATGAATTGTTATCCATAGTTTTAGTTTAGTACGGACATAAATTCGTTTAATTTGAGTTCCTATCCACAAATTAGTTTGGAACGGATTGAATCTCTCAACAAAGGAGTACATACCAAAGTCACCATAAACTCATGGTATTATGATTTTTTTTGTTGTTTCGCATGAAATGCCACTTCAAGAACAAATTATGGCTAAATTTTAGTATCATAAGTTCCCAGCCATAATTTTATTAGACTCCATCCATAAGATACATTTGATTCATTTAATTTTAAAAGTTATGAGATTCAATCCACAGTTATGGTTAGATTGTAGTTTTCATTAATGTCCATCCATAATCTTATTTCATTCGATTCATAAAATTATTTATCGGAGTGACTTTTAGTTTCTATCCACAAGTTTGTATCGTTCTAATTTTTTAAGAAATAATATCCGTCCGACTTTTAGTTTTACTTTAGTAACAACGAAAGGTTTTATTTAGATTATTTGCGAGTTATGTAATAAATCAAATAATATGTCAAATTTTATTTACGTCACGTTACCAAATAATGGATGCATTAATAATCATGCAATATGGAATAAAGTTCTATTTTATTACCTTTATGATTATATATATTACTTTGAAGTAAAAATAAAAGAGATTTATTTTGACAGTTTATTTACCCGGTAAAATCAAATATCATGTAATTTAATGCATCAATTAAGTATATTAATTTTGATTTCGATTTGATATAAGTTTATTATCTGCTTGATGTACAAATTAGCTAGTAAATGAATAATGAATAACCCTATATCATGACAAAGTCATGATAAGCGAAAACGTGAAAAAGCTAAATAAATAGGAACTCTAGTCGAGTAAGGTTTAGTGCACGAAAATAAAAATGGGAACTCCGATGGAGCAGAGTTTACTCCCGAGCGTCGCGATTCGCCCGAGCATCGGCGGAGAGGACGCTCGGCGCCGATTGGTCGGCGGGTTCGTAGAGAGGCGCGTTACACCCGGATGGGTATAAAAGCGGCCGCAAACGAAGGATCAAGGTCTTTCGTCGAGAACAAGTCTGTACATGCGGACCGACGGGATCCGAGTTCGTGCTTCGCGCGTTCCGTAACAAGTCTCGCGTTATAAAGGAATCAGAATAGGCTGATCGACGCGATCCTAAATAAAATTCGTGACGTAAATATTAACAGCCCTGAGGCTGACGAGCGTTTCGAAAATAACTCTGTCGGGAATTAAGTGCCTGTAATAACGAGTGGTTGTATTTTCATAAAGCATTGAACCTAGTGAAATAAACAGTTTCTTGGTTAAGTAAAGACAGTGCGTAATCTACTTACCCTCATTGTGCCTATCCCACGGAAGTCCTCTTCGGGTTGAAGCTGCATATCCTGGAACCTGAAAATAAAGAGGAGAGTAAGTTAGACAATCGGAATCCACCCGCTAAGCGAAAACCGCGTTAGGTGAAAGTAACTTAGAACCAGCGGCCACTTTCTAAGAAGGACGTGGTAAAAAACCGAGGCGACAGCGAGAGGCATCTCAGGATCGTTATTAGTGCGGCAGGATTTAATCCGAGTCTCCCCAACCTTGTTGCTATTAGTGGTCAAAGCAACTGGCGACCGTTCAACGATCAAAGCGGGGCCGTCTGGACCGGTAAGTCGAAGTAGTGGATACCAACCGCAAGCACGTTCGGTCACAGTGAAACATAGCCGCCGTGAGTAGTCGAACGCCAGCCTGGAATTTATTGTCGCAAGACAGTGAGTACCGAAAAAGCTGGCGACCGTGACAGCTGCCGTTTAGCGAAACGGCAGTACGACGAAGAATCTGCAACAAAAGCGGTTCAAACAGATTAATACACAAGTCACCGATTCTACCGAAAAAGGTGGCGACCGTGACACCTGTCGAAATCGAATTTCGACAGGCCGGACTAAAAGAACCTGTAGTGTAAAAAATTAATTTAAGAAATACGGCACCACTTGTTCTAACGAAAAAGGTGGCGACCGTGACAGCTGTCGAACATTACGTTCGACAGTTAGTTAGGATATGGAATCTGTAAAAAGCGGTTAACAAAGTGAAATCCGAAACCACTTATTTTCATAAGTAAGGTGGTAACCGTGACAGCTATCGAGCATCGCGTTCGATAATAGTTATTGCTTAGAATAAGACCACTTTCGAAAAAGGTGGCGACCGCGAAAATTGTCGAAAACAATAAATTCGATAATACGGTTAGGAAAACTTGCAAATTAACGGTTAAAATTGCAAAAACAGGCAAAAGTCATAATACGCGAATAGCACGGCGATCGCGAAAATAAAGTAGCATAGCCCGAGAAGCGTAATGACCGTGACAGCGGTCGAACATCACGTTCGATATTAAAGCCAAAGAATAAGCCTTGCACGCAAAAACGGATAAAATAGAAACACGTTCAAAAAACGTAAAATCGGTAACGAAAAACCGGAAGCTATTCGCGAAGCAGAAACGAATTAGCAAATCACAGAGTTAGACACCCTAGCCTTAAAAGGTGGTGCAATAGAAACAGGACGTTTCATTCGCGTGTAGAGAAAGTCTAACGTAAACAAAAATAAAAGTCGTGGTAAAATAATTGCGCAAATTAACGCAAACCGATTCGATTGCATGAAAATTGCGAAAAATGTTGCATGGATAAAATATTGAGCAATAAACAGCATACGTCAATAATAGAAGACAAACAAAGAGTTACGTCTGACAAAAATGCTATGCTCGCAAGCGAATAATCCTCATTATCTCCTTGCATTTCCTGTAAGACAATAAAAATTTCTTGACAAAGAGAGCTTTGCATCGTTAATAAAAGAAAGCGGAAAATTTTCGCTTAACGATTGCAGAGACTCTAGAGAAAGCATAAAAATCAATCGAATAAACCGCGCACCGACAAAAACGCGAGAGACCGCACGCCGACAAAGCCGAGGTAAACCGCGCGCCGACAAAGACGCGAGAGACCGCACGCCGACAAAGGCGAGGCAAACCGCGCACCGACAAAGACGCGCCGACATACGCGTAGTCATCAAAGCAACCGAAACAACATACCGGGTATTTAAATTGTTACAATTTTAATTATTTCTTATAAAATAATAAACGAACGTGTTACGCAATACTAGTAACTTACCAAACGTACAATAAATAATTCCGTACAATTAATTTCCGTTCTTCGCGAAAAATTTAAAAACGCGAAAAAATAGAATCGTTCGGAAACAATATACCGGGTGATTCTAAAGTACGTCCGTATTAGATTTACTATCAAAAAGCGAATAAGCTAACGCGATACGCGATAAGCAATACATTGATATTCGGACGCGACAAATAATTCCATTAGGCAATAAACATTTGCCAAAGTTCAAGAAGGGCAGAGTCATAAATTGACTCAATTAAAGTTAATAATAAACCCCATACGGGCAAAATTAACGCAATAAAACTATCGCGATACGCGATCTATTAGCTTAATTCGGTATTAAAATTCGGCAAAATGGAAGACGACTTCAACAAAAAAGGTTTCAAAGGAGTGGTACATTCACCACCAACAACCTTGAGATCGGGGAAAGTCAGAAACCCACTAAGTAAGACCGATGATCCGCAACAAGGAACTTCAACCGCGAAAAATCCCGAAGACGGAGCCGAAGATAGAATCCGGATCCTAGAGGAACAGGTCAAAGCCATGTCAAATGCGCTTAAAAACGTAGAGCTATCGGCAAGTCGATACGCTTCGCAAGACTCGTTAGAGTATATAGAGAGGAACACAAACGCGATCGATCCGAGAGTAAATACAACGCAAAACATTGGTATACGCCTACCAAAGGGAGGATGGTTAAAGAGCCCATTCGAGGAGCTAAAATTCAATGGAAAAACAGAAGATATGAACCCCATGCGGTTCTTAAAGAAATTCAATTTGATCGCGAACTACGAAGAGATCGACGACCGGGATCTAATACACTTTTTTGGAAGATGTATGAAGGACCAAGCGGCCGTATGATATGAGGTCCAAGATTTCGCACATATAAACGAGGCCCGGGAGGCGTTTATTCAACGTTTCTGGGGAGATACCCAGCAAGCCAAATTTCGCGAAAAACTCTATATGGGGCAGTACAAACCTGGAAAATCGTCAACAATGGCGGATTACGCCCTGGATTTAGCCAGACAAGCAAAATTGCTTGAACCCCCAATGGGAGATGCGGAAATAATACGCTGCGTTAAAAGGCACTTCGATAAAGAAGTCGCGCGTGAAATCAAGTGGTCAACCACTAAAAATATTTCCGAACTAACGTCGATCCTTGAGGAGATACACGACGAGAAACAGGCGGCTGCGGAGACTAAGTCAGCGAGAGACAAGTCATCAGAGAAAGCCTCGACCAAAAGTGCAACAAAGAAGAGACAAGACCCGGCGACACAAAACCAGAAAACCAAATGGAACTCGAAAAAGAGTCCATACGTCCGAAATAAGGAGCAAAAAGCGCTTCCATGGTACGGACAGGAAGCAAAAAAGTCAAAGCCGAAGGTGGAGTTTCCAGAATCTGAGTCCGATGAAGAGGAAAGAATAAAGCAACGAAATCGAAGGATGCCTCAAGAGGAAGAAAAACATCCAACGAGACGAAAGCGCCGAAGAAGAAGGGAATTTCTACCATTAAGCAAAGACAGGTTTCATCGACGGATTCGGAAGAGACTACGGACGAAAGTAGCCCAAATGACAATCCGGAAGAGTCCTTCGAAGAGAAAAAAATCTCGATTATGAGGACCCAAAAGATCATCAAAGATCTAAGCGATGACGAGGTTCATAATAAGAACAAGTCACAATCGAAACCAATTATCGACATTAAAATTGGAAAAACTAAGATACGCGCACTAGTCGATACAGGTGCGGAGATATCTGTCATGTCCAAAAACACGTTGGACAGCCTGATAAAAGCCGGAGAGAATTTCGATCGAATTCCGGTGAGAAAATGCAAATTGAAAGGTGCTTTTGGCGAGCAGGAGCTCACAATAGCATGCAAGATCCAATTATCGATAAATATCGAAAAGAATCGACTATTGCAGGAATTTTATGTAGTCGATAGATTATCGTACCCAATGGTATTGGGAAACGATATGTTGACCAAGTTTAGCGCGAGAATTAAATATCGCGAAAACAGGTTCAACGTCAAATTCAGAAACAACGAAGAAGTCAAGTCAATTCTATCGATCGCCATGTCTGAAGTAGAAGGGGGCGTCGAATTAAAAAGAATACTAAAGAAACATCCAAAAGTATTCGAAGACAAAATCGGCAAGGTAACCCACTACGAACATAAAATAGAAATGAGCGACGATAAACCGTACAAAAAGAAACCATATCCCGTTCCTGAGGTACACAGAGACGCGGTACGCAAAATGATAAAGGAATGGATTCAACAAGGAATCATCAAAAAAGCCGCGACTCAATATATCAACCCATTGGTCACGGTTAAAAAGAAATCCGGAGACTTGCGGATATGCTTGGACGCGAGAGAGATAAACAAGAAAATGGTGGCGGACCACGCACAACCTCCAACTATTGACGAGGTGTTCAGCCGCATAGGAAATAAAAAATATTTCTCCACGCTAGACGTCACCCAGGCATTTTGGCAAATTCCCCTAGATAAAACTAGCAGAAAATACACTGGTTTTATGTTCGATGGCCAATCATATGTTTTTAAGAGATTACCATTTGGATTGAAAACAGCCGGTGCGTCTTTTACAAGAGCCATGAATAAGGCATTAAAGAATGATAATCTAGAATTCGTTATCGTATATCTCGACGACATCTTGATCGCATCGAACAGTCTCCAAGAACATCTGAAACATATAGATCTCGTGATTGGACGATTGGAAGACGTTGGTTTCAAACTCAATAAAGAGAAATGCGAATTCCTAAAAAAGGAAATAAAATTCCTCGGACACACGTTCGACAACGTAACAGCGAACATCAACGAAGAAACGAAATGTTCAATAGCCTCATTCCAGAGACCCAAAACCAAGAAAAACATCCAAGCTTTTTTGGGGTTAGTCAACTGGGATCGAAGATTTGTCAAAAATTTGGCAAGACTAACGAAACCCCTGAAAAATTTGCTAAAAAAGAATGTAAAATTCGTATGGACAGAAATCGAGCAAGAAGCTTTCGAAAACATCAAGAGAGCATTCACCAACGCTCCGACGTTATATTTAACCAACCCGAAAATGAATTATGGAATCGATGTGGACGCATCCAAAACCGGACTAGGAGCACGTCTATACCAGTACGAAAAGGACAACGACCATCAAAAATATACCATAGCTTACGCAAGTCGTAGCCTAAAAAACGCGGAAAAAAATTATACGATCACAGAAATCGAATGTCTCGCGCTGGTATTTGCCCTTAAAAAATGGCACGTAATATTGATGGGCAGAAACGTGAGAGTCAACACGGACCATCGCGCCATCAAGTTTGTAAGTTCGTGCGCGAACAACAGCGAACGCATAGCCCGATGGATGTCGTTTCTACAAGAGTTCGATCTGGAGATAAACCATATTCCAGGTACGGAAAACAAGATCGCAGACACGTTGTCGAGACAATACCAAGACGACAACAATCAAACATCAATACAAAACGAGTACAGAGTATGCTCGATCCTCGATTTGGAAAAAAAAGACAACCCAGAAAATTGGATAAAGACCATCCAGGAAGCTCAACGAAACGACCAGGACATCCGAGAAAAAATAACGCAACAAGATCCAAACGTTAAAATCCGCGATGGACTAGTGCGGATAAATCACGGAATCGATGAGCGAGTCTTAATCCCGAATAAAATCGCATGGGAATTGATAAACTCTGTACATAAATTTTTGGTACATTTTGGAACCGACAAAATGATCGGATTCACAAAAAGATTCTTCCACTTAGAGAACCTGGATAGATTAACAAGAGACGTAGTCGCGTCATGTAATACGTGTATAGCATCGAAGTATTACACTAGACCGACACAAGGTCCACAATTTTACGACCTACCGGAAAAAGAAAACGACACCGTATCGTTAGACTTGTTCGGTCCTTTACCTAGAACCAAAGAAAGAAAAAGATACATCATCGTAATTATGGACCAATTCTCGAAATTAATCCGTTGTTTTCCGATATGCAACCAAAAAATTGAAACAATAATGCAAACGATCGAAGAAGAATACCTAACAAACATGACAAAACCAAATACATTTGTAACCGACAATGGAGGACAAATTTGTCCAAAAAATGGTCCGACTTTGCCAACGAAAAAGGATGGGAAATCCGCAAAACGTCACCATATAACCCACAATCCAATCCAGTGGAAAGAGTCATGAAAAAAATTGGAAGAGTAATTAGGTCATATTTTCATGACAGACATACACAATGGGAAAAGATAATAAAACGTTTCGAAATCACTGCGAACGAAACCCATCATTTTTCAACGGGAGAAATACCAAATAAACTGCATCCCGAGTTACAAATTGAGCTTAAAATAAATAATCGACTAATTCCAGAGGAAACGGAAAATCAAGACCATCAGGAGCTGAGAACCAAGGTAGCCAACCATTTGGAAAAGCGAGCCAACCAGCGACGAGTTCAAGCGGAAAAACACCAATCAGCCAAACAATATGAAATCGGAGACCGTGTATGGGTCAAAATTCACCGCAGATCGGACGCAAACCGCAAAACTACCAAAAAAATGCATTTAATTTATGATGGACCATTCATTATTCGCGATATAATAAGAAAAAACGCGTATCTGATAGAACATCTCGACGGAACAATAGTCGAAACATATAATTCCCGTCAAATCAGACCGCATCGCGAACCAAAATTGAGAAATCAAGAGGAACAGCGGATCATAACATCCGACGCCGAAGAAGAAACAATACGTCCACAAGCTAGCGATCAAGAAATAATTTCCGACACTAAAGAAGAAATCGAGCCTCCACGAACAAATAATCAGGAGGATGGACCAATAATAAATTCCGATTCGGAGGAAGATTCAGAGATAAATATGATTTCGTTGATTCCAATCGAACGACTAATAAATAGATCGAGTTTAGAAGGGGGCGAAAAAGTAAATAACCAAATTAAACCACAAACAAAAATTTGGGATTCCGAAATAGCAACCGAAATCCAAGAAATGTCATACTCACGAGAAGGGATCAAAAGAAACTTTTTTCTAAACCATAATTGGTTTAATCATCAGAAAAACGTAGTTTTTCACAAAATTGGAAACTTACATCCACAAAAACCAATTTTCCACGGAAATACAAACGAAATCACAAACAATTCACAAATTCCATGAATAAACTACGAGAAAAACAGACAAATTCAAAAATCAATTCCACAGCATTCAAAAAGTTACAGAATAGACGTACCACTAAAATCATCTACTATAATACAATTTGCCAAACCACAACCTGAAAGAGAAAAAGGAATTGAAAAATACTCACCACACGAAGATTTCATTCCACCAAGAAAATCTGAAAAACAAAAAGAAATTAATCAACAACCCACAAAAAACAAGAGTATCTTACCTCAGGAAAATCCAGACCAGCCCAGGAAGCCTGAAAAAAGAGAAAATAAAACTTTAACTTACCAGGATCCGAATTCGTCCAAAGAGAAAATCAATGAAGACAAACTTGCAAGAAAAAGGAAAATTACCCAGCAACCTGAAAGAAAAGAAAAAATTAAACAGCAATCTAAAGAAAAAGAAAAATACTTACCACCTGAAGATCCCAAACCATCCAAGGAAGAAGACGGATCTCCTGAAAAAGAAAGAAAGTTAAAGAAAAATAAAAATATTAACGATTTAATAAGTAAACAGCATGAATTAACACGTTCGAACGAAAAATATATGTTAATTAAGGGGATCCTAAATGATGTTTTTACCGACCGAATGCGAGAATATTTATTTTTTTCATATAACTTTTTATTGACTATACTGATCAATAAATCCTTTTCCACGATTAAAGTACTTATAAAAACGGACCGCGCTAGCTATGTTTGCATATATAAATCATATAAAAATAAAAAATTACAATTTTGTTATCGGCTGCTTTGTGTCAGTTCGTAATAATACTTATTTAATAAAAAAAGTTTTGCAGTTTGTCTGTGCATGAAATATAGTATGCGCGGTAAGGATTATATGAAGAAATATTAGTAAGCAATTAAAAGTGAGATTGCAAGTCTAATAAAAAAGTTATATATAAAAAAACATTTCACGCATATGTGTGTGTGCAAATCGAGGCTGCGGAATAAAACAGAGCAGTAGATTAGTTGCGTGATATCGTGATAGATGGAGCTGCAACGTGTTTCTCTGTAGCATTCATCATCCACACCTTTCATTTACACTCTACACTTTTATTACACCTTACACTTTTCACTGCACTTTTACACTTTTTACATCTTTATACATTTGTAATAACTTCAATTCATTAATATACATAATGTTTTTAAGAAAAATCAATATTTCCATAACAACACATTCATTCATTTATTTGTTACATATTAATTCTTTTTGTTCTTTCGCTTTATACTTTCAATGAATAAACATTACTTTTTCAAAGATCTGGTGAATTTATTTATAAGTCGCTACATTTTTGGTGACCCCGACGTGATATTAAAGCCGACGCATTTTAAAGGCTGATGCGGAATAAGTGCCAAGTGATCGTCATATTTGAAGTCTGCGAAATATTATCATCGCTTGGAAGAATTGCTGGATATTCTGATTTTAA